AGTAGAGAGGGAGTTTCACCACCCTGGTCTGGCTGGTCTCAAACTCCTGACCTTGAGATCGGCCCGCCTCAGCCTCCCAAGGTGCTGAGATTACAGGTGTGAGCCACCCCGCCCTTTAAGATTTTTTTTTTTTTAAATCTTTATGGCAGTGCCTTATCTACTGGTAAAGATGTCTTTTAAATCGATAAAAATACACATAACAGGCGTGGCACTGTGGCTCAGCCTGTAATCCGGGCACTTTGGGAGGCTGAGGCGGGAGGATTGCTGGTGACCAGAAAGTTTGAGACCAGCCTGGGCAACATATCAAGACCCCGTCTCTACAAAAAGTAAGAAAATTAGGCCGGGCGTGGTGGCTCACGTCTGGAATCCAAGCACTTTGGAGGCCAAGGCGAGCAGATCACCTGAGGTCAGGAGTTCAACACCAGCCTGACCAACATGGTGAAACCCCGTCTTTAAAAAAAAAAAAAAAAGAAAGAAAATTAGCTGTGCCATGTGGTCCCAGCTACTCCAGAGGCTGAGGTGGGAGGATCTCTTGAGCCCAGAAGCTGGAGGCTGCAAATGAACCATATCTACACCACTGCACTCCCAGCCTGAGCGACGGAGAGAGACCCTGCCTCCCCCACACTCAAAAAAGAAGGTCAACGCCTGATTGCATCACTGCAGATACGCCCACCCGTCAGGTGTAGTCTGTCCCACCCTACAGGCGTGGGAGTCACTAGGGTCTCCGCGGTTCCCGCTGGCTTTTTAAAGCTCCTGCAGCTCCAGCTTAGGTCGGTTTGCAGTGAGCCTCGCTGCCTGGGATCTTGGACTCCTCGGTCGTCGCAAGTCGTCTGGTAAAAGTCTTGGGTGCCCCCTCTTCTGCGCGGTTCGGGGTCTCGGAAGGAGACCTCTGCAATGTGCAAGCGCGGTTGCATCAGCCGGGCCCCCTGGGCTGGCTGCGGAGAGACTGGTGTCTTTCGGATGAGGGTCCAGGGAACTTGGAGCTGCGGATGTGGGCAGGGATTGCGGTGGGACTGGATGCGTGTCCAGATAATCTGAGACTCACTTCCTGCGTTCAGCTTTGGGCAGGGGCACCGCTGGATGCGAGAGTGACTGCAGTCTTCTACCGGTGGTGACTTGTCTCTTCTCCCTCCCTTCCTCCCTCCCTCCTTTCTTTTCCTTTTCTCTTTTTCTTTCTTTTTTTTTTTTCTTTTCTTTTTCATTCTTTTTTCTTTTTTTTGAGACGGAGTTTCGCTCTTGTTACCCAGGCTGGAGTGCAATGGCGCGATCTCGGCTCACCGCAACCTCCGCCTCCTGGGTTCAGGCAATTCTCCTGCCTCAGCCTCCCGAGTAGCTGGGATTACAGGCACGTGCCACCATGCCCAGGTGATTTTTAGTATTTTTTTTTTTTTTAGTAGAGACGGGGTTTCACCATGTTGACCAGGATGGTCTCGATCTCTTGACCTCGTGATCCACCCGCCTCGGCCTCCCAAAGTGCTGGGATTACAGGCTTGAGCCACCGCGCCCGGCCTTTTTCATTCTTTTTAATCTCCCCTTTCTTTCCTTCCTTCCTCTTTCTCCTTCCCTCCCTCCCTTTTTTCTTTTCTTCCTTCCTCCCTCCCTCCTTCCCTCTCTTTCTCCCCTCCCTCCCTCCTTCCCTTACTTCCTTCCATTCCTCTCCTTTCCTTTTCTTTCTTTCTTTTTTATTTTTAAAATTTTTTAAAGATGGGGTTTCACCATGTTGGTCAGGCTGATCTTGAACTCCCGACCTCAGGTGACCTGCCCTGCCTTGGCCTCCAAAGTGCTTGGATTAGGGGCATGAGCCACCACGCCCGGCCCTTTCTTTCTTTTTGAACGGAGTCCCACTCTGTTGCCCAGGCTGGAGACCAGTGGTGCAATCTCGGCTCACTGCAACCTCTGACTCTTGGGTTCAAGTGATTCTCCTGCCTCAGCCTCCCGAGCAGCTGGGGCTGCGGGTGCCCTCCACCACACCCAGCGAAGTTTTTTGTATTTTTTTTTCTTTTAGTAGAGACAGGGTTTCACCATGTTGGCCAGGCTGGTCTCAAACTCCTGACCTCAGGTGATCTGCCCATCTTGGCCATCGGTGGTGACTTCTCTACTACCACCCAGAAATTCTATGAGGCCAGTTTTATTATTGGCAGCATTTTAAAAACTGTGGTAGAAAACACATAATATAAAAATTACTGGGAGGCCGAGGCAGGAGAATTGCTTGAACCCAGGAGGCGGAGGTTGCAGTGAGGCAAGACTGGCCACTGCACTCTCACTCTGGCCTGGGTAACAGAGGAGGCTCTGTCTAAAAAAAAAAAAAATACCACCTTATCCTTTTTATTTATTTATTTTTTATTATAGAGATGGGGTTTCTCCATGTTGGCCAGGCTGGTCTCGAACTCCTGACCTCAGGTGATCCGCCCACTTCGGCCTCCCAAAGTGCTAGGATTACAGGCATGAGCCACCGTGCCCAGCCTTTTTTCTTTCTTTCTTTCTTTTTTCTTTTTCTTTTTTTGAGATGGAGTTTCGCTCTTGTTACCCAGGCTGGAGTGCAATGGTGCGATTTCGGCTCACCGCAACCTCCGCCTCCTGGGCTCAGGCAATTCTCCTGCCTCAGCCTCCTAAGTAGCTGGGATTACAGGGACGTGCCACCACGCCCAGCTAGTTTTTTTGTATTTTTAGTAGAGACGGGGTTTCACCATGTTGACCAGGATGGTCTCAATCTCTCGACCTCGTGATCCACCCGCCTCGGCCTCCCAAAGTGCTGGGATTAAGGCTTGAGCCACCGCGCCCGGCCTGTTTCTTTCTTTTTTTTAAGACGGCGTTTCACCATGTTGGTCAGGCTGGTCTTGAACTCCTGACCTCAGGCGATCCACCCACCTTGGCCTCCAAAGTGCTTGGATTACAGGCGTGAGCCACCACACCTGGCCTCTCTTTTTTCTTTCTTTTCTTCCCTCCTTCCCTTTCTTTCTTCTTTTTCTCTCCTTCCTTTCTCTCTTTCCTCTTTTCTCCTTCCTTCCTTCCTTCTTCTCTCGTTCTTTTATTCCTTTTCTTCTTTTTTTCCCCTTCCCCTTCCTTTCTCTTGACAGAGACTAGCTCCGCTGCCCAGGCTGGAGTGCACTGGTGAGATCAGAGCTCACTGTAGCCTTCAACTCTAGGGCTTCAGTGATCCTTCCACCTCAGCCTCCCCAGTAGTTAAGGCTACAGGCATGCACTGTAACCCCTGGCTAATTAAAAAAAATTTTTTTTTGGCTGGGTGCAGGTGGCTCACGCCTGCAATCCCAGCAATTTGGGGGGCTGATGTGGGAGGCTCAATTGAGGCTACAAGTTAGAGACCAGCCTGGGCAACAAAGTGAGACCCTGTCTCTACAAAAAATAAAATAAAAGATGAGCTGGGCGTGGTGACATGCACCTATAGTCCCACCTGCTCGGGTGGCTACACTGGGGAGATTGCTTGAGCCTGGGAGGTCAAGGTTGCAGTGAGCTTTGATCACATCACTGCACTCCAGCTTGGGCAACAGAGTAAGATCCTCTCCCTCTCAAAAAAAAAAAAAAAAAAAAAAAAAAAAAAAAAAAGCATTCTAACTACTCAAATTATATCATTAACTCAAATTATTATTATTGTTATTATTTTGAGACACAGTTTCACTCTTGTCGTCCAGACCGGAGTGCAATGGCACAATCTCAGCTCACTGGAACCTCCGCCTGCCAGGTTCAAGCAATTCTCCTGCCTCAGCCTCCCAAGTAGCTGGGATTACAGGCGTGCGCCACCACACCCAACAAATTTTGTATTTTTAGTAGAGACAGGATTTCACCTTGTTGGTCAGGCTGGTCTCAATCTCCTGACTTCAAGTAATCCACCCACCTTGGCCTCCCAAAATGCTGGGATTACGGGTATGAGCCACAGCACCCAGCCAATTAACTCCAATTACAGCAGTTACACAGCCTCTATGTCCTATGTGCTGACACCGTACTGGAAGCTTTTGTTTGCATCTCTTTTTTTGAGATGGAATTTCTCTCTTGTTACCCAGGCTGGAGTGCAGTGACGCGATCTTGGCTCACCACAACCTCCACCTCCCAGGTTCAAATGATTCTCCTGCCTCGGTCTCCTGAATAGCCGGGATTACAGGCATGCGCCACCACACCTGGCTAATTTTTGTATTCTTAGTAGAGACGGGGTTTCTCCACGTTGGTTAGGCTGGTCTCAAAGTCCCAACCTCGGGCCGGGTGCGGTGGCTCATGCCTGTAATCCCAGCACTTTGGGAGGCCGAGGCGGGTGGATCACGAGGTCAAGAGATCGAGACCATCCTGGTCAACATGGTGAAACCCCGTCTCTACTAAAAATACAAAAAATTAGCTGGGCATGGTGGCGCGTGCCTGTAATCCCAACTACCTAGGAGGCTGAGGCAGGAGAATTGCCTGAACCCAGGAGGCGGAGGTTGCGGTGAGCCGAGATTGTGCCATTGCACTCCAGCCTGGGTAACAAGAGAGGGAAACTCCGTCTCCAAAAAAAAAAAAAAAAGTCCCAACCTCAGGTGATCCACCTGCCTCTGCCTCCCAAAGTGCTGGGATTATAGATAGGCGTGAGTCACAGCTCCCAGCTGTATCTCTTTAAATAAGAAATCCTTCCAGTAACTTTTACTTCTTTTCCCCTTGAGGTGAGGGGTCTCACTGTGTTGCCCAGGCTGGTGTGAAACTCCTGAGCCCAAGCGATCCTCCCACCTCCCAAAATGCTGGGACTACAGGAATGAGCTGCCCTGCCTAGCCATGTAACTTTGCTACGTATTAAAGTCCCCATTTACATTTGGAGGGCCCATGGCTGGGAGATGGATGATCTACCCAAAATGTTCTTTCACTGCCTGCTTTCCCCAGAGAGCACTGTTCAGAGGAGCTGGTCCTAAATCTGACTCCCAGGGCCGAGGCGGGACAAATAGTCTTCGTGGCTTTCTGTCTTAGGGGCCTTCTGTCCTGTTTCCTCGGCAGATCTTAGCACCTCCTCAACTCCATCTAAGATGCTCCGGCAGAAACTTCGACAATTTGGTCAGAAGCTGATGCGCAGGCAGCCCCTGCAGCTGGACCAGGGGGCCTCTGGGCCTCGCTTGTCTCGCTGTCTGAACACCCTGGATCTGGTGGCCTTGGGTGTGGGCAGCACCCTGGGGGCGGGCGTGTATGTCCTGGCCGGAGAAGTGGCCAAGAACGACGCTGGACCGGCCATCGTCATCTGCTTCTTGGTGGCTGCCCTGACCTCTATGTTGTCTGGGCTCTGCTATGCAGAGTTCGGGGCCCGGGTGCCATGCTCTGGATCCGCCTATCTCTACACTTACGTCACGGTGGGTCAACTGATGGCTTTCATCACGGGCTGGAACCTCTTACTCTCCTACGTCATAGGTGAGACGATGGGGCCTGGAGGGAGGTGTGGGAGAAACAAAAGAGTTAGGGATCGGGGAACCGGGGGAACCACAGTGGCCTTCAGACTCGCTTTATTATCTACCTTGTGGGAGGGAGAGTGGGAATGGTGGCAGGAAAAGGCCCAGATGCCCTTTACTCAGATGCTTTCTGCTTCCCTGCCAGGACTGAACAACAAGAAGAAATGGGAACTGTGGGATGTATGGGGCAGAGTTCTTTTTTTTTTTTTGAGACAGAATCTCACTCTGTCGTCCAGACTGGAGTGCAGTGGTGTGATCTCAGCTCACTGCAACCTCCGCCTCCTAGGTTCAAGCAATTCTCTGCCTCAGCCTGCCAAGTAACTGGGATTATAGGCGGTCACCACCACGCCCAGCTACTTTTTGTATTTTTAGTAGAGACAGGGTTTCACCATCTTGGCCAAGCTGGCCTTGAACTCCTGACCTTGTGATCCACCTGCTTTGGTATCCCAAAGTGCTGGGATTATAGGCATGAGCCATCATGCCCAGCAGGGCAGAGTTCTTATAGTTTTGGGGGAGATATGTGCCACAAACTCATTCCCCTACTGTGTTTTTGTTTGTTTGTTTGTTTTGAGACGGAGCCGTGCTCTGCCACTCCTAGGTTCAAGCGATTTTCATGCCTCAGCCTTCTGAGTAGCTGGGATTACAGCGCCTGACACCACGTTTGGCTAAGTTTTGTATTTTTAGTAGAGACAGGGTTTCGCCATGTTGGCCAGGCTGGTCTCCAACTCCTGACCTCAGGTGATCCACCAGCCTCAGCCTCCCAAAGTGCTGGGATTACAGGTGTGAGCCATTGTGCCCGGCCTATTTTATTCTTTTTCTTTTTCTACTGCTCCTCCCCATCCCATCAAAAGACATTTTTTGAGATTAGATATTTTTCTTTTCCCTTTTTCTTTTAGAAATGATTTCTCAGGCCGGGCGCGGTGGCTCAAGCCTGTAATCCCAGCACTTTGGGAGGCCGAGGCGGGTGGATCATGAGGTCGAGAGATCGAGACCATCCTGGTCAACATGGTGAAACCCCGTCTCTACTGAAAAATACAAAAAATTAGCTGGGCATGGTGGCGCGTGCCTATAATCCCAGCTACTCAGGAGGCTGAGGCAGGAGAATTGCCTGAACCCAGGAGGCGGAGGTTGCGGTGAGCCGAGATCGCGCCATTGCACTCCAGCCTGGGTAACAAGAGCGAAAGTCCATCTCAGAAAAAAAAAAAAAAAAAAAAAAAGAAAAGAAATGATTTCTCCTCAGCCAGTTGCAGTAGCTCACGCCTGTATTCCCAGCACTTTGGGAGGCCGAGGTGGGTGGATCACTTGAGGACAGGAGTTCAAGACCAGACTGGCCAACATGATGAAACTCCATCTCTACTAAAAATACAAAAATTACTCGGGCATGGAGGCTGGCTCCTGTCATTCCAGCTACTTGGGAGGCTGAGGCAGGAGGATCACTTGAAGCTGGAGGGCGGAGTTTGTGGTGAGCGGAGATCACACATGCACGTGGTCACGGTTTCTGTCCCTAAACACACATTTCTTCTGCCGCAGGTGCTGCCAGCGTGGCCAGGGCCTGGAGCTTTACGTTTGACAGCCTCATCGAGCACAGAATCTCCCATGCCCTGCAGGGCACTGCTCTGCATGTGCCTGAAGTCCTGGCCAAGTATCCAGACTTTTTTGCGCTGGGCCTGGTGTTGGTCCTCACTGGTAAGGCGGGGGTCAGAGGGAAGGGGGGTAATCAGGGCACGGAGGAGGAAGGGGGGGTGGGAAAGGCTTGGAGCAGGAGGTATTCTAATACCAACAGTACAGGTATTAGAAAACCAGTGGGCACAGTGGCTCATGCCTGCAATTCCAGCACTTTGGGAGGCTGAGGCCGGTGGATCACCTGAGGTCAGGAGTTTGAGACCAGCCTGGCCAACATGGTGAAACCCCATCTCTACTAAAAATACAAAAATTAGCCAGGTGTGGTAGTGCACACCTGTAATCCCAGCTACTGGGGAGGCTGAGGCAGGATAATTGCTTGAACCCGGGAGGCAGAGGTTGCAGTGGGCCACTACACTCTAACCTGGTGATAGAGCAGGACTCCTGTCTCAAAAAAAAGAACTAGAAGGAAGGACTGATGATGGGAATCACGGGAGGGTAAGACTTGGAGCCCTGTTTCCACACTGTGACATAAACATCCTCAGGCAATTCTTTGTCTGGGGGTCGCTCTGCGCATTACACGGCATTGAGCAGCACTCCTGGCCTCTACCCACTAGATGCCAGTGGTCCTCACCCCCAAATCAGGATAATCAGAAGCTGAGAACCACTGACTTAGACAAGTTTCTTCCATTCCACTGAGACCAGTTTTGTTTTTGTTTTTGTTAAGGCGGGGTCTTCTCATTCCCAGGCTGGAGTACAGTGACACAGTCATGGCTTAATGCAGCCTCAAAATCCTGGGAGGAAGTGAGCTCAAGCAATCCTCCCACCTCAGCCTCCCAGGTTGCTAGGTCTCCAAATAAAATCAATCATTTTCTTTTTAAAATTTTTTAAATTTCAGTCTGCACCCCACCCCCCAAATCAATCATTTTCTTTTTTCTTTTTTTTTTTTTTTTTGAGACGGAGTTTCGCTCTTGTTACCCAGGCTGGAGTGCAATGGCGCGATCTCGGCTCACTGCAACCTCCGCCTCCCGGGTTCAGGCAATTCTCCTGCCTCAGCCTCCTGAGTAGCTGGGATTACAGGCACACGCCACCATGCCCAGCTAATTTTTTGTATTTTTAGTAGAGACGGGGTTTCACCATGTTGACCGGGATGGTCTCGATCTCTTGACCTTGTGATCCACCCGCCTCGGCCTCCCAAAGTGCTGGGATTACAGGCTTGACCCACCGCGCCCGGCCATTCTTATTTTTTTTTTTTTTTTTGAGATGGAGTTTCACTCTTGGTACCAAGGCTGGAGTGCAATGGCGCGATCTCGGCTCACCGCAACCTCCGCCTCCTGGGTTCAGGCAATTCTCCTGTCTTAGCCTCCTGAGCAGCTGGGATTACAGGCACGCGCCACCATGCCCAGCTATTTGTTTTGTATTTTTAGTAGAGACTGGGTTTCACCATGTTTACCAGGATGGTCTCGATCTCTTGACCTTGTGATCCACCCGCCTCGGCCTCCCAAAGTGCTGGGATTACAGGTGTGAGCCACCGCGCCCGGCCTCTTTTTTTTTTTGAGATAGAGTCTCACTCTGTTGCCCAGGCTAGAGTGCAACGGCGTGATCTCGGCTCACTGCAGCCTATGCCTCCTGGGTTCAAGCGATTCTTCTGCCTCAGCCTCCTAAGTAGCTGGGACTACAGGTGCGCACCACCATGCCTGGCTAATTTTTGTATTTTTAGTAGAGATGGGGGTTTCACCATGTTGGCCGGGATGGTCTCGGACTCCTGACCTCAAGTGATCTGCCCTCCTCAGCCTCTCATAGTGCTGGGATTACAGGCATGAGCCACCGCGCCCGGCCTATTTCATTTTTTATTTTCTGTTATTTTGAGACAGGGTCTTGCTCTTTCACTTAGGCTGGAGTAGTGGCATGATCACAGCTCACTGCAGTCCTGACCACCTGGGTTGAAGTGATCCTCCCGCCTCAACCTCCCAAGTAGTTGGAAGACAGGCACACAACACCACGTCCAGCTGATTTTTGTATTTTTAGTAGAGATGGGGTTTCACCATGTTGGCTATGCTGGTCTCAAACTGCTGACCTCAAGTGATCAGCCCACCTTGGCCTCCCAGAGTGCTGGGATTACAGTCGTAAGCCACCGTGCCCGGCTGAATTCCTGGTTTCTAGTGATCTTGGTGATTCTCCCATCGTGGCTTTCCAGAACGCTTCGGATTACAAGTGTGGGGCCCTGCGCCTGGCCTGAAATGAACCGTCTGAGACTTTTTTTTTTTTTTGGAGACGGAGTTTTGCTCTTGTTACCCAGGCTGGAGTGCAATGGCGGGATCTCGGCTCACCGCAACCTCCGCCTCCTGGGTTCAGGCGATTCTCCTGCTTCAGCCTCCTGAGTAGCTGGGATTACAGGCACACGCCACCATGCCCAGCTAATTTTTTGTATTTTTAGTAGAGACGGGGTTTCACCATGTTGACCGGGATGGTCTCGATCTCTCGACCTTGTGATCCACCCGCCTCGGCCTCCCAAAGTGCTGGGATTACAGGCGTGAGCCACCGTGTCCGGCCTGAGACTTTTTTTTTTTTGAGATGGATTTTCGCTCTTGTTACCAAGTTTTTTTTTTCTTTCTTCATATATATATATATATATAAGATGGGGTTTTTCACCATGTTGGTCAGGCTGGTCTTGAACTCCCGACCTCAGGTGATCTGCCTGCCTTGGCCTCCAAAGTGCTTGGATTACAGGCGTGAGCCACCACGCCCAGCCTTTTTTTTTTTTTTTTTGAGTTTCCCTCTTGTTACCCAGGCTGGAGTGCAATGGCGCGATCTCGGCTCACCGCAACCTCCGCCTCCCGGGTTCAGGCAATTCTCCTGCCTCAGCCTCCTGAGTAGCTGGGATTACAGGCACGCGCCACCATGCCCAGCTAATTTTTTGTATTTTTAGTAGAGACGGGGTTTCGCCATGTTGACCAGGATGGTCTCGATCTCTTGACCTCGTGATCCACCTGCCTCGGCCTCCCGAAGTGCTGGGATTATAGGCGTGAGCCACCGCGCCTGGCCCAATGAACCATTTTAAAGCACGGGGTTCGTGGCATTTAGTACCTTCACAGTGTTGTGCAGCTGCCACCTCCATCTAGTTGGGAAATGCTTTCAACATCACCCCACAGGAGACCCTGCGTCCTTCAGGCAGTGGTTCCCCATGACCTTTGGCCTCTGGCAACCACTGAGCTGCCTTCTGTCTTTACGGGTTTACTCACTCAGGATATTCCGTGTTTCCCACAGGACTGCTGGCTCTGGGAGCTCGGGAGTCAGCCTGGGTTACCAAAGTCTTCACAGGTGTGAACCTTCTGGTTCTGAGCTGCGTCATCGTCTCCGGCTTCATCAAGGGAGAGCTGCGTAACTGGCAGCTCACAGATGCCGACTACAAACGGGCTGAGCTGGGCTCCAACGGCACCCAGAGGTGAGGGCACACTGGTCTGTTTTTAAATGTTTAAAAACGATTTATTTAGAGACGGAGTTTCGCTCTGTCGCCCAGGCAGGAGTGCAGTGGCACAATCGTGGCTCACCGCAACCACTGCCTCCCGGGTTCAAGCGATTCTCCTGCCTCAGCCTTCTGAGTAGCTGGGATTACAGGTGCCCATCACCATGCCCAACTAATTTTTGTATTTTTAGTAGAGACGGGGTTTCACCATGTTGGTCAGGCTGGTCCCGAACTTCTCACCTGGTGATCTGCCCACCTTGACCTCCCAAAGTGCTGGGATTACAGGCGTGAGCCACCATGTCCAGCCTTATTTTATTTGTTTTTTAAGATGGAGTCTAGCTCTGTCGCTCAGGCTGGAGTGCAGTAGCACCATCTGAGCTCACTGCAACCTCTGCCTCCCAGGTTGAAGTGATTCTCCTGCCTCAGCCTCCCAAGTAGCTGAGATTATAGGTACCTGCACTGTGCCCAGCTAATTTCTCTATTTTCAGTAGAGTCAGGGTTTCACCATGTTGGCCAGGTTGGTCTTGAACTCCTGATCTCGGGTGATCCACCCTCCTCAGCCTACCAAAGTGCTGGAATTACAGGCATGAGCCACTGTGCCTGGCCTACTTATTTTTTGAGACGACTCCCGCTCTTGTCACCCAGGCTGAAGTGCAGTAGTGCCATCTTGGCTCACTGCAAACTCCACCTCCCAAGTTCAAGTGATTTCCCTGCCTTGGCCCGAGTAGCTGCGATTACAGGCATGTGCCACCACACCTGGCTAATTTTTTTTTTTTTTTTTTTTTTTTTAATTTTTAGTAGAGACAAGGTTTCACCACGTTGGTCAGGCTGGTCTCGAACTCCTGACCTCAGGTCATCCACCTGCCTTGGCCTCCTAAAGTGCTGGGATTACAGGAGTGAGCCACCGCCCCGGCCTCTAACTCTTGACCTCAAGTGATCTGCCTGCCTTGGCCTCTCAAACTGCTATGGTTATAGGCATGAGCCATTGCAACTGGCCAGAGGTGCCCTCTTGGACACAGGTGGGGAGGCTGGGGTGCAGACCTGGGACTATTTTGGGAATAGGGGGAATCTGGGCTGATGGTGCCAGATAGTAGGGAGTGGGTATGGCAAAGGCAGCCCAGGACTTGTGGAATTAACTGTGTAATCCCAGAAAGACGGCTGCACAGCTTACCCATGTTTCTTGTTCCTTCTCCCCCTGTAGCTTGGGCTCCCTGGGCTCTGGAGGGTTTATGCCTTTCGGCTATGAAGGGATCCTCCGTGGAGCCGCCAGGTGTTTCTTTGCGTTTGTGGGTTTTGATGGCATCGCCACCACAGGTAACATGGTCATTCCGGCTCATTCCGGTTTGGGCACAGTTGGGGCTGCTGCTGGGCACACGTGTCGTTTAAGGCTACCCTGCTGTCAGATGGGTCAGAGGGCAGAGGGTTTTGCGTCCTTGCTTCTGTGCGTTTTCGTGACTCAGTGCACACACCCGTCCCGCAGGAGAAGAGGCTCTCCACCCCCAGCGCTCCATCCCCTGGGGCATCGTGACCTCCATCTTCATCTGCTTCTTGGCCTATCTTGGTGTCTCGGCGGCACTCATCCTCATGGTGCCCTACTACCTGATACATTCCGAGAACCCCTTGCCTGAGGCTTTTGTCCACATCGGATGGCCCACCATCAGATATGCTGTGGCCGTCGGTACCCTTTGTGCCCTGTCCTCCAGGTCAGTGCTGGACGCTCTCTCCCTATCTGCTGTCAGGTTCTCGGGGAAAGGGAGGAGATGCTGGAGGCGATGGAGCAGAGGCCCTGGTCCCTCCTGCTTCCTGAGTCCCCAGGCATGTTCCCGTTGTCTCTTGCATGCAGCCTCCTGGGTGCCATGTTCCCCATGCCTCGCGTGCTCTACTCGATGGCTGAGGATAGGCTCCTTTTCCGAGAACTTGCCCGGATCCACGCCCGCACCAGCACCCCCGTGGTGGCCACCGTCGTTGCTGGGACTGTTGCAGGTGAAGGCCCAGAATCCAGGATGTCTTTCCTCCATTTTCTGCTAGTTACTTCCTCATCCTCCCACACTGCCCATCCATTGTTTTTTTGCTTTTATTATTATTCATTATTTTTATTTTTTGACATGGAGTCGCCCTCTGTAGCCCAGGCTGGAGTGCAGTGGCGAAATCTGGGCTCACTGCAACCTCCAGTTCCTGGGTTCAATCAATTCTCCTGCCTCAGCCTCCCGAGTAGCTGAGCTTATAGGCGCCTGCCCCCATGGCCGTCTAATTTTTATATTTTTAGTAGAGATGGAGTTTCACCATATTGGCCTGGATGGTCTCGAACTCCTGACCTTGTGATCCACCCACCTCAGCCTCCCAAAGTGCTGGGATTACAGGCATGAGCTACCATGCCTGGCCTATTCATTCATTAAAAAAAAAAAAAAAGTGGCCAGGCACGGTGGATCAGGAGATCGAGACCATCCTGGCTGACAGAGTAAAACCCCACCTCTACTAAAAAAAAATTAGCCAGGCCTGGAGGCATGCCCCTGTAGTCCCAGCTACTTGCAAGGCTGAGGCAGAAGAATCACTTTAACTCAGGAAGTGGAGGTTGCAGTGAGCCAAGATTGTGCCATTGCACTCCAGCCTGGGTGACAGAGTGAGACTCAGTCTTAAAAAAATAAATAAATAAATACATAATTTTTTTTTTTTGAGACGGAGTTTCGCTCTTGTTACCCAGGCTGGAGTGCAATGGCGCCATCTCGGCTCACCGAAACCTCCGCCTCCTGGGTTCAGGCAATTCTCCTGCCTCAGCCTCCTGAGTATACCACTGGCTGGGCGCAGTGGCTCATGCCTGTAATCCCAGCACTCCATCTCAAAAGAAAAGGAAAAAAAATTCTATCATCAGTTGCTAATGACAGTCCCCTTCTAGTGCTGTGGAACCCCAGAACACACTGGAACTTACCCTGTTTTGTGCCCTGACTGTAGCAATCATGGCTTTCCTGTTTGAACTCAACGACCTCGTGGACCTCTCATTGATCGGGACCCTGCTTACTTACTCCTTGGTGGCCTTTTCTGTTCTTGTCCTCAGGTAAGACTTGGGTCCTGGGTGCATGAGGATTGATGGGGTTCCCAGCCCTCTTCTGTCTGCCTCCTGGTCCTTCCGTGCACTGCTTCACATACAGGGGTGTGGGGAGTCTGGCCAGCAGCCCCTGCTTATCCACGGGGGGCACGTTCCAAGACCCCCAGCACATGCCTAAAACCGCAGATAGTACCAGTCCCTATATATGATGATTTTCCCATCCATAACTCAGATGCCTAAAGTGACTTAATGTGGACAGTAGCATTCACAGCATGGAGATACTGGAAAAAGGGATAATTCACATCCTGGGCGTGGGGAGCATGGAATACTGCTACTTGAAGCCACACACAATTGAAAACTTATTAATTACGGCCAGGCACAGTGGCTCACACCTGTAATCCAGCGATTTGGGAGGCTGAGGAGCGGGGATCACTTCAGGTCAGAGGTTGGAGACCATCCTGGCCAACATGGTGAAAGCGTGTCTCTACTAAAAATACAAAAATTAGCCGGGCGTGGTGGCATATGCCTATAATCCCAGCTACTGGGAAGGCTGAGGCAGGAGATCCCTCCAACCCAGGAGGCAGAGATTTCGGTGAGCCAAGACTGCAACCGTACTCAGGCCTGGGTGACAAGAGAGAGACTGTGTCTCAAAAAAAAGAAAAGAAAACGCCGGGCGCGGTGGCTCAAGCCTGTAATCCCAGCACTTTGGGAGGCCGAGGCGGGTGGATCACGAGGTCAAGAGATCGAGACCATCCTGGTCAACATGGTGAAACCCCGTCTCTACTAAAAATACAAAAATTAGCTGGGCATGGTGGTGCACGCCTCTAATCCCAGCTACTCAGGAGGATGAGGCAGGAGAATTGCCTGAACCCAGGAGACGGAGGTTGCGGTGAGCCGAGATCACGCCATTGCACTCCAGCCTGGATAACAGGAGTGAAACTCTGTCTCAAAAAAAAAAAAAAAAAAAGAAAGAAAAGAAAAGAAAACTCATGAATTACTGCTGGGTACTGCTGGAGTTTTCCATTTTACTCTTTTTGGAGTGTGGCTGACATGGGTAGATGAAACCTTGAATAAGTAGGAGCTACCGTGGGAGTATTAGGCTGATGTTGGATGAACAGGGACTTGAGTTCATCTTTCCCTGCTCTAATTCAGGTACCAGCCAGACGAGGATTTCAGCAAGAACGAGATGCTGAAGGTGGAATTAGTTGAGATAAGTTCTGCAACCAAAGCAAAATCCCCAGAATGTACTTCTGAAGCAGGCATGCCCCGCACTCGGGCGAGTCTCTGGAGCCCTGCCAGCACCATCCCCACCCCGAGATCTGGCCGCATTGTCTATGGATGTGCCTTTCTGCTTGGTGAGCCCTGGGGTTTCCCTGCAGGGTGTTCTCAACCTGAGAGCACACGGCAGGGGGTCTGTGGCTTTGGTACTGAAGAGGAGTCTTGAGGATATGGTGGCCCTTCTTCGTAGAGGCAGTTTTGTGACACAGTGCGGTGGCTCATGCCTATAATCCCAGCACTTTGGTAGGCCAAGGTGGGAGGATCATGGGGTCAGGAGTTTGAGAACAGCCTGGCCAACGTGGTGAAAGCCCATCTCTACTAAAAAAAAAAAAAAAAAAAAAAAACAAAAATTAGGCCAGGCATGGTGGCACATACCTGTACTTCCAGCACTTTGGGAAGCTGAGTAGGGGTGGGTCACAAGGTCAGGATTTTGAAACCAGCCTGGCCAACATGGTGAAACCCTGTCTTTACTAAAAATAGAAAAAATTAGCCAGGCATGGTGACAGGCACCCCTAATCCCAGCTACTTGGGAGGCTGAGCCAGGAGAATGGCTTGAACCCAGGAGACAGAGTTTGTAGTGAGCTGAGACTGCACTACTGCATTTCAGCCTGGACAACAGAGCAAGACCATCTTGGGAGTAAAAAATATATATACACAAAAAATTGCCAGGCATGGTGGTGGCCGCCTATAATCCCACCTACTCTGGAGGCTAAGGCAGGAGAATCGCTTGAACCTGGGAGGCGGAGGTTGCAGTGAGCCAAGATTGTGCCACTGCATTCCAGCCTGGGCAACAAAAGTGAAACTCTGTCTCAAAAAAAAAAAATTATCTGGGTGTGCTGGCACGTGCCTGTGGTCCCACCTAATGAGGAGGCTGGGATGTGTGTGTGTGTGTGGTTTTGGTGATGGGAAGGGGCCTGAGATCTTAATGTATTTAGCTTCTGGAGTTGAACCTGTTCTCCTCAACCTTGACCCTTTCCAGTCACTGTGCTGTCCATGCTATGCCTGGTACTGACCCAGTGGCCCAAACGCCTGTTCTCTGGAGAGCCCATCTACTTCACGGCGGTGGTGCTGCTGCTGGTGCTCACTGCAGGACTCACTTTCACCATCTGGAGACAGCCCCAGAGCAACGCTCCTCTTTACTTCAAGGTAGGTGACCCTATGTCCCCAAACCACCCACCTGAGTCACTGGACTCTGCATGCCTCAAGCTCTGAACACTCTATGGGACCAGGGAAGACAAGGGCAGTTTCTAAAACCAGTGGATTGTTCATGGACACCCGCCTCCAACCCTCACATCTCAGTACTTCCCCAAACCTGTCTCTGTGGAACACCCAGTGGGACAACCACTCAGAACAGGCACTGAACCAGGTGAGGTGGCTCACAGCTGTAATCCCAGCACTTTGGGAGGCCAAGTCGGGTAGATCATTTGAGGTCAGGAATTCAGGACCAGCCTTGACTAACATAATGAAACCTCTACTGAAAATACAAAAATTAGCCAGGTGTGGTGATGCATGCCTGTAATCCCAGCTACCCAGGAGGCTGAGGCAAGAGAATCGCTTGAACCCAGGAGGCGGAGGTTGCAGTGAGCTGAGGTTGTGGCACTCCAGCCTGGGTGACAGACGAAGACTCCATCTCAAAAAAAAAAAAAAAAAAAAAAAAATAGAAGGAACAACAGAATAGGCGTTGAACGTGATTTGAACCTGATGCAACTGGAACAGAGCTGTGGTGTTCCCACCCCTTGGGATAAGGGGTCCCTTGCAGACATTTGTGGTGTGTTAACTCTTTGCCTGCAGGTCCCTCTGCTGCCTGTCCTCCCGCTGCTCAGCATCTCTGTGAATGTTTACCTGATGATGCAGCTGACCACTGCGACCTGGGCCCGATATGGAGTCTGGATGTTGATTGGTGAGTGGCTTCCTGGAAAAAAAGAGGCCTCTTGGGTGCCTGAGCCCAACACTTCCTGCCACCTTTCCCTACAACTGTCTCAGGCTGGTGGTGTGGGGTGTGCCTGTAGTCCCAGCTACTTGGGAGATGAAGGCAGAAGCACTGCTTGAGACCAGGAGCTCCAGACCAGCCTGGGCAACATGGCGAGACTCTGTCTCTACCAAATGGCCGGGCACGGTGGCTCATGCCTGTAATCCCAGCACTTTGGGAGGCCTAGGCAGATGGATCACCTGAAGTCAGGAGTTCAAGAACAGCCTGGCCAACATGGTGAAACCCTATCTCTTCTAAAAATGCAAAAAAGTAGCTAGGCGTGGTGGCGGGCACCTGTAATCTCACCTACCCAGGAGACTAAGGCATGAGAATCACATGAACGTGGGAAGCAGAGGTTGCAGTGAGCTGAGATCACGCCATTGCACTCCAGCCTGGGCAACGGAGTGAAGCTCCATCTCTAAGTAAAAGAAAAAAGAAAACCTTCAAATAAACAAACCACCGCAGAATCTCTAGTGGGCATTTATGAGGGAAAGGGTGACTACATTTCCTCTCATTGTCTCGTTTCCCTTCTAGGATTTGCTATATACTTTGGTTATGGGATCCGACACAGCTTGGAGAATGATCAACAGCCACCAGCATCAAGCTCCCAAACTCCTCATGAAAACATCCCTAGTCCCTACCTGAATTAGTTTTACCACGGGAAACAGATGGTCCAGTCCACTGGAGGTGTCCTCTGGATGAAGGGAAAGTTTGAAGCTCTGTGGAGCGTGAAGGTGGGAGGCACTTAGAGCCCCATGGGCATTGCCAGCGAGCAAATGCTTTTTAAAAAATTTTATTTTGTTTTTTGTTTTTAGAGATGGGGACTTGCTCTGTTGCCCAGGTGGGACTTGAACTCCTAGGCTCAAGTGGTCCTTCTGCCTCAGTTTTCCAAGGAGCTGGGACTACAGGCACCCCATCATGCCCAGCTTAACAAAGTAACTTTTTTTTTTTTTTAATTTAAATTTTAATGTTTTGGCACAGAGTCTCGCTCTGTTGCCCAGGCTGGGGTGCAATGGTGCGATCTTGGATCACTGCAACCTCTGCCTCCCGGGTTCAAGCGATTCTCCTGCCTCAGCCTCCAGAGTAGCTGAGACTAGAGACATATGCCACTGTGCCTGGTTAATTTTTGCTTATTAGTAGAGATGGGGTTTCACCATGTTGGCCAGGCTGGTCTTGAATGCCTGACCTCAAGTGACCCGCCCGCCCTTGCCTCCCAAAGTGCTGGGATTCTAGGCATGAGCCCGCATGCCTGGCCATCATGTTTACTTGAAACAGATTTTCTCTGGCATCTTCTTTGACACAGTATCTAATCTTTACTGTAAAGTCACATTCTCAGCAAGACTTAACCTGACACCCTGAGTAACATCACAGATTCCACAGATGGCTTCAGTCTTTCTTGTCCTCCGTTCTGCGTCCGTTTCCCGGCATTGCCTGAAGCACAAGGATGTTCCACCTGTTTACTCGGTGTGTGCCCTGTCATTAAAGGCCCTGCCTGCAGGGCAACTGACTTGATTTTACCTGAGACTTTGTTTTTTTTTGAGACGGAGTTTCGCTCTTGTTACCCAGGCTGGAGTGCAATGGCGCGATCTTGGCTCACCTCAACCTCCGCCTCCCGGGTTCAGGCAATTCTCCTGCCTCAGCCTCCCGAGTAGCTGGGATTACAGGCACGCGCCACCATGCCCAGCTAATTTTTTGTATTTTTAGTAAAGACGGGGTTTCACGATGTTGACCAGGATGGTCTCGATCTCTTGACCTCGTGATCCACCCGCCTCGGCCTCCCAAAGTGCTGGGATTACAGGCGTGAGCCACCGCACCCGGCCTACCTGAGACTTTTGCCAAAATACTTAACTCTCTCATTTTGTTTCCTTATTTAAAGTTTCGGTTGTCAGGGGTTCCCTCTCTCAGCTTTGGAGCCCCCCTCCCTTTATCTCTGTACAGGGGAGCTTCTTTCTTCACCCTTTTCGCCTGTTAAACTCCCTGCTCCTTTAAAAAAAAAAAAGTTTCGGTTGGCTAGTTCACTCGCTACATTATAGCTGAATGATTGTGAGTCCAGAGTCCAGTCTGGCAAAAGAGCAAAGGTAGACTGTTCCTTCACTATCCTTATGAGTTTTGCCAAGTACTTACCCAGAAAGTCAGTGATCAATGTAATTTTTCCTAAGGAGATCCGGAGGATATAATGGGAAGTTCCTTGAATAAATGACAATGTCCATGTATCTGTGTCATGGGAAAAAGTTCAATTAATGCTGTAAATATGGTGTAATAAGTGGAAATGTTGACTCAAAGGAATATGCATTAAGAGATTTTTGGCCCGGAGGGTGGCTCACGCCTGTAATCCCAGTACTTTGGGAAGCTGAGGTCAGGAGTTTGGGACCAGCCTGGCCAACATGGCGAAAATCTGTCTCTACTGAAAACACGAGAATTAATTGGGCATGGTGGCACACGTCTATAATCCCAGCTACTCGGGAGGCTGAGGCAGGAGAATTACTTGAACCCAGGAGGCGGAGGTTGCAGTGAGCCGAGATTGCACCACTGTACACTAGCCTGGGTGACAGAGAGAGACTCTATCTCAAAAACAAAATATTTTGGAAAATACTGCAACATTTTTGTCTAGAACTGATGTCCAAACAAATATAAGAGCCAAGTATGTATTTTTTTTTTCTTTTTGAGACAGAGTCTTGCTCTCACCCAGGCTGGAATGTAGTGGCACCATCTTGGCTCACTGCAACCTCTACTTCTCAGGCTCAAGTCTCCTGCCTTAGCCTCCTGAACAGCTGGAATTACAGGCTTGCACCACCACGCCTGGGTAATTTTTGTTATTTTTAGCAGAGACATGGGTTTCACCATGATGGCCAGGCTGGTCTCAAATGCCTGACCTCAGGTGATCTGCCTGCCTTAGCCTCCCAAAGTGCTGGTGAGGAAGGAGACCCTTAATCACCCTTTAGCATCTAAGACCACCTCCTCCTTGACTTCTACACTGCATTTCAACAGAAGTAAGGGCTGGCAGACCGGACACCAGGGCACCACCTTAATCACCCTCCTATAGATTGCAGGCATGGTGTGGGGGAACCTTTCCAGAAGGCATTGGTTTTACATAAACAAGTTCAAACCCCCACCTAAGCCACACACCCCATATACCTATTCCATGGACCAAGACCCTTTCACATGTAATTTCTAGAGTTGTAAACCTTTATAAGGGCAGGGGTTTTCATTGCTCAGGCTCAGCTATTTGGGGCATCCAGACCCTCTGCAGCTCCCAGCTGAATAAATCACTTCCTTCCCAGTTCAGTGTTCGAGAGGTTTGTTTTTCGGCCTTTCCTGCTTTACTGGGATTACAGGCATGAGCCACTGCACCCAGCCAAGTATGTAATTTCAATATTTCTCCTAGCCACATTAAAGAAGCAAAAATAACATGAAATTCTAACCCAAAACACCCAAATTCTAATACCCAAAATATTAACATTAATCCGTATAAAACATTAACATATAATAAATATTTAAAAATAAAGTATTAGGCCGGGCACGGTGGCTCAAGCCTGTAATCCCAGCACTTTAGGAGGCCAAGGCGGGTGGATCACGAGGTCAAGAGATCGATACCATCCTGGTCAACATGGTGAAACCCCGTCTCTACTAAAAAAAAAAAAAATACAAAAAATTAGCTGGGCATGGTGGCGCGTGCCTGTAATCCCAGCTACTCAGGAGGCTGAGGCAGGAGAATCGCCTGAACCCAGGAGGCGGAGGTTGCGGTGAGCCGAGATTGTGCCATTGCACTCCAGCTGGGGTAATAAGAGCGAAACTCCATCTCAAAAAAAAAATAAATAAAAAATAAAGTATTAATATAAAAACATACGAATTTGAAATAAAAGTATGAAAATGTTTCACTATTAAAAGGTGAGATTGTGGGTTGCAGTTCATGATGGCTGACAGAAGCAGCTGGTGTGTGCTGCTCTCATGGAGAGGAAACGCATCCACCAGGACACCATGCTGGGATTCACCAGAGCCGGAGTGCTCTGCCTGCCCCCGCTGGAAAGCCAAACTCATTTTGGAAGACTTTTAGGCTACGGTTTAAATGATAATAGGCCTTACCGCAAACTCAACTGCTTTTGTAAAGCTAACTTGAGCCCATCAGGCTGAGGTGGGGAGGGAACCTGAATCCTGCTAAGGTGCTGACATTCCGGATGCTGTAAGATAAACAGCCTCCCCATTTGGCCTTCTGAGATCCCTTTCCAGGTATTTGCATGTCTGACACCCCTGGCTGGACCTGGACCAACGACCCGGCTCAGCTCCTGGGCTCCTATGTCCCCACTGAGAAGAGATTCGGCTCCCAGGAGGCCTACGATTTCATCTCTGCCCCAAACAATCAGCAGCAAGCATCTGTAACCTGGGGACCCCCACCACCTCCCCCAAGTGGCCTTTGATTTTACTTCCTCCAGACTGCCTTTAAAAACTTGTGAGCCTTGGATGGTCTGAGTATGACCTCCATCTCCCACATGGCATGGCTGGCTTCGTGTCTATCAAACTCTTTCTCTCCTTCTATGCCCTGGTCTGCCTTTATGCAGAGGGTGAGAAAAACCCCTGGCAAGGTGACATTAGAATCACGCTGAAGAGGGGATAGATGGCTGCAGGCTGAGGCAGGAGAATCACTTGAATCCGGGAGGCGGAGGTTGCAGTGAGCTGGGATAGCACCATTACACTCCAGCCTGAGTCACAGAGCAAGACTCCAAATCCAAAAAAAATTGCTGGTGTGGTGGCTCACACCTGTAATCCCAGCCCTCGGAGGCCGATGAGGGTGGATCACAAGGTCAAGAGATGGAGACCATCCTGGCCAACATGGTGACCACTTCCCCCAGACCCTGAGGTGGGGCCCACGCAGCCAGCCACCACCACAACACACACCTGCACAGGCCCAGAGGTGGAGCCCCTTCTACATCAAGCAGCAGTGCCACCACACACTCCCTGGACCAGGCTGAGTGACCCTGTGCAGCCCCCCAAACCACTCCACGCAGAGCCATGAAACATGCGTTTCCCGGGGCTCTCCACTGCTTTGTGGTCCTGGGAAAGAGTACAGTGCGCTGGCCGGGAGCAGTGGCTCATGCCTGTAATCCTAGCAATTTGGGAGGCCAAGGCAGGTGAATCACACTTGAGGTCAGAAGCTCAAGACCAGCTTTGCCAACATGTTGAAAATCCATCTCTACCAAAATACAAAAATTAGCCAGGCGTAGTGTCAGGTATCTGCAATCCCAGCTACTTGGGAAGCTGAGACAGGAGAATCACCAGGAAGGGGAGGTTGCAGTGAACCAAGATCATGCCATTGCAGTCCAGTTTGGGTGACAGAGTCAGACTCCATCTCAAAAAAAAAAAAAAAAAAAAAAAAAAAAGGCCATATTAGGATACATGCTTGAGGTGATGAGTACTCCATTGCCCTGATGTGATTATTGTGCCTGTTTAAACTATTGCATGTGGCCAGGCACATTAGCTCATGCCTGTAATCCCAGCACTTTGGGAGGCTGAGGCGGGTGTAGCACCTGAGGTCAGGAGTTCCAGACCAGCCTGACCAACATGGTGAAACCCTGTCTCTACTAAATGCAAAAAATTAGCCAGGCGTGGTGGTACATGCGTAATCCCAGCTACTTGGGAGGCTGAAGCAGGAGAATTGCTTGAACCCAGGGAGTTGGAGGTTGTAATAGCCCCATCATACTCTAGCCTGGGCAACAGGAGCAAAACTCTGTCTCAAAAAACAAACAAAAAATATATATAGCATGTAACCCATAAATACCTACATCTACTATGTACCCCCAATTTTAATTAAAATAATTTTTTTGGTAATAATTAAAATAATTTTAAAATGGCCATATTACCTCAACGCAATCTAGAATCATCAAACTACCAATATTATTTTTCACAGAACTATAAAAAACTATTGTAGGCCAGGTGCAGTGACTCAAGCCTGTAATTAGAGCACTTTGAGAGGCCTAAGCGGGCGGATGACTCGAGGCCAGGAGTTTGAGACCAGCCTGGCCAACGTGGTGAAACCCCATCTCCACTAACAGTACAAAATTAGCCAGGTGTGGCAGTGCATGCTTGTAATTCCAGCTATTCAGGACCCTGAGATAGGAGACTTGCCTGAACCTGGGAGGTGGAGGTTGTGGTGAGCTGAGATTGCGCCATTGCACTCCAGCCTGGGTGACAGAGTGAGACTGTCTCAAAAAAAAAAAAAAAAAAAATTGTAAAATTCATACAAAACCTCAAATGAGCCCAATAGCCAAAGCAATCTTTTTTTTGAGACAAAGTCTTGCTCCTGTTGCCAGTTTGGAGTGCAGTGGTATAATCTCAGCTCACTGCAATCTCCATCTCCTGGGTTCAAGTGATTCCCCTGCCTCAGCCTCCTGAGTAGCTGGGACTACAGGTGCCCTCCACCACGACCGGCTAACTTTTTTACTTTAGTAGAGAAGGAGTTTCAACCATAGCCAGGATGGTCTTGATCTCCTGATCTCACCATCCACCCACCTCAGCCTCTCAAAGTGCTGATGACAGGCATAAGCCACCAGGCCTGGCAGCCAAAGCAATCTTAATTAAAAAGAACAAAGCTGAAGGCATGACATTCCAGACTGCACAAGGCTACAGTAACTGGGAGTTTCCTGATAGCTGAAGATTTGGGGGCTCCTGGAGGGAGGTGTGCCGAGGGAGGGCGTGGAAGGTCCTCACCCCGTCTCCCATACCTTGTCCTACGCATCTCTCTTCATTTGTGTCCTTTGTAATGTCCTTTATAATAAGCCAGTAAATGTAAAACAAATAAAAAAAAAAAGTATAGGCTGGGCGCGGTGGCTCAAGCCTGTAATCCCAGCACTTTGGGAGGCCGAGGCGGGTGGATCACGAGGTCAAGAGATCGAGACCATCCTGGTCAACAGGGTGAAACCCCGTCTCTACTAAAGGTGCAAAAAATTAGCTGGGCATGATGGCACGTGCCTGTAATCCCAGCTACTCCGGAGGCTGAGGCAGGAGAATTGCCTGAACCCAGGAGGCGGAGGTTGCGGTGAGCCGAGATCGCGCCATTGCACTCTAGCCTGGGTAACAAGAGCGAAACTCCGTCTCAAAAAAAAAAAAAAATACTAACTGGCCTTAACAGAGAGTTTGCTGAACCTTGGTGTTGTGAAAACTTGTGAAATATAAATAACTCCAGGTTTAGTGGAAACTCAGGTGAGGATGCCCCATTCATTTGTCCAAAGACAGAGCAAGTGAAATGTGCTCAGAGTTATTCTGTTGGTCTTGCTGTTTGAGTGAGTTCCGATGGGGTTTGTTTTAGTGATGAGTTTCACTCAGCCACAGGTGCCTAAAAGACATCAGAACCTTCCCCGTTGCTCTTCGGCTTCTATAACTTTGTGTAATTACTGCCTCTCTAGACAATGATGTCTGCTCTGCAGTAAGTAATTTTTTTTTTTTTTTTTTTTGGACATGGAGTCTCCCTGTTGTTGCCCTGGACTGGAGTATGGTGGCATGATCACAGCTCACTGCAACCTTCCCCTCCCAGGTTCCAGCAATTCTCCTGCCTTGGCCTCCCAAGTAACTGAGATTACAGATGCCTGCCACCATGCCCAGCCAAGGTTGCAGCGAGCTGAGATGGTGCCATTGCATCACTCTCCCCTGTGCCTGAGGTTCTCCCGTGGGCTGTAGCGTCTGCCCTGGATCTCCACGGCTGCTCTCGTGAGCACTCCAGTCTTCTTCCAGCCCTAAGCCCTCTCTCCTGAACTCTATCCCTTCTCTCCCAGAATTCACCTCTGAATTCTAGCTATCCTTTCCCATGAGCCAGGACCTCCCATGCCCATGAGCCACTCATCTGCCCCCCTCAAACTCACTCCCATGCGGTCTAGAGTCCTTTCCCAACTATATTCTCCAATTCCTACTGTGGGCTCTGGTCCTTTCCCTGAGATAATCCTCTCCTCAGGCCAGAACCATCTTAAGACAACTCCTAGGTCTCTCCCCTGAGTCTGTGTCCTCAACTTCCCCAGAATTCTGTCAGAGGTGCTGGAACCAAAGCAACTCCATTTTGAGTGCAGGCTAGGAAAATGAGGCTGAGACTTGCTGGGCTGCATTCTGAGAAATTCAGGCATTCCTAACCTCTCCTGTTTACGGTTTCGGGAACAAGTTAATAATGGTTACTAAGCAGACCCAGACTTGAGATGTCCACATATCCTGATACCTGGAGAGCAAAGGCATTCCGAATTTTGCTTTAAAGATAGCATCAATTCTTGCAAACACAGTAATTAAGAAAAGTAACCCTTTATTATAAACCCTTGTGGCAGAGCACATCTCCCCATACATATGCGGGTAGAGGCATTCCTCCCTGTACTTTCGGGAGCATCCTACTCTGTGTAGGGGGCAGCTGCCCTTTCACCACTTTTTCTGTTTTTGACACAGAGTCTCCCTCTGTCGCTCAGGCTGGAGTGCAATGGCGCCATCTCTGCAAACAACCTCCACCTCCCGGGTTCAAGTCATTCTCCTGCCTCAGCCTCCGGAGTAGCTGGGATTACAAGCATGTGCCACCATGCCTGGCTAATTTTTGTTCTTATAGTAGAGATGAGGTTTCACCATGTTGGCCAGGCTGGTCTTAAACTGACCTCAGGTGACCCGCCTGCCTCGGCCTCCCAAAGTGCCGGGATTACCGGTATGAGCCGCCGCACCCGGACCCAGCACTTTACTTTTTTTTTTTAAATGTATTTTTAAATTTTTTCCTTTAATGATTTCTGAGACATCTGACTTTCTTAATAAACTTGCTTTCGCTTTGCACAGAGGACTCATCCTAAAATCTTTCCTGTGTGAGATCCAAGAACCCTCTCTTGGGGTCTGGATCCGCACCCCTTTCCTGTAACAACTCTCCTCCGGGCACTGACCGCTTCCCCAGGACGAGCCCACGTGCCTCCCTCCCGCCCCGTCCCTGCTGTGGGGCCACCGCCAGGATTTGGTAGAGGTCCAGTCTGCTGGCACTGTTCCTTCTTGAAAAGGTTGTGTCTGACTACCCAATAAAGAGACCTGCGCATCTTTGATTTTATTAATATTTTTGATTGACAAATAATTGGATTACACTGATTGAGTAGAAGGTTATGTTCCAATGCATGTACACAATGCGGAATGATTAAATCAAGCTGATTAACACAACCATCACCTTGCTTTCTTCTCCTTTTTCCCTGCGGTGAGACATCTGAAATTTACTTTGTTACTGTAACTTTAATTGAATCATTCTGGTCTCTGCCTAGAGGGTCAGCACGCTGTGCTTGTACTCCACATTTCCTGGAGGAGCAATGACATTGAATACATTTTCACTTGTTCACTGGCCATTTGCTGATCTTCTCTTGTGACCTGCTTAAGTTTTCTCCCCTTTAAATTGATTTGTTTTTTAAACGTGAGGGATTTTTTATATTTTCCACGAGTTTCTTTGTCAGGTGTAGTAGAGCAAACATCTTCTTCCAGTCCTGTTTCTTGTCTTTTCTCTATCTTAACCACATCATTTGATGAACAGAATTTTGCACTTCTGCTGATGAAGTCTAACAACTTTTTATGTCCGCTGTGTTTTGCCTACTAAGAAATCACTGGGTAACTCACAGTTGTGACAATAATCTCTTAATGGTTTCTTCTAGAAGATCAACAGTTTTTTCCAGACTCACTGCACCCACAGGGTGTTTTCTTGTAAAAATTCACTAATGGCAATACTAATGGTAGTAACGATCATAAAAACAACAATAGTTATTTATTGAACTTACACAATATTCCAGTTACACTTTCAAAGACTTTACATGTACCATTTAATTTCCAGTTTCCACGACGGGAGTCTCGGGTAGATGTGATTATCCTTATGTACAAATAATGCACAGGGTGTCCATGTGGCAGACAATGCACAGGGGCAGTGGGTGGGGGATGGCGGGGACAACTGGTAGAGCGGGTGCCATAACTAAAGGCTTTCTTATGTGTTACATTAGCAGGGTTATTCCACAGATGCCACGAATAAAGACAGAATGGTATTGGTAGTCTTTATGTATTCATTAAACTAACCTACACGATAAAAACGTTTACACCAAAAACACAATCATTAAGAATTAAGAAAAAGTGATTTTTCCACTCTTCGAATTTGCCTCTAGAATGACTTCTGATATTCTGTAAGCAGAAGAGTGATCAGTGGGCTGGACATGGTGGCTCATGCCTGTAATCCCAGCACTTTGGGAGGCCGAGGCAGGTGGATCACCTGAGGTCAGGAGTTGGAGACCAGCCTGGGCAACATGGTGAAACCTGTCTGTACTAAAAATAAAAAATTTGCCAGGCATGGTGGTGCCTGTAATCCCATCTACTGGAGAGGCTGAAACAGGAGAACTGCTTGAACCTGGGAGACAGAGGTTGCAGTGAGCCAAGATCGCACCACTGCACTCCAGTCTCGGCAAGAATGAGACTCTGTGTCCAAAAAAAAAAAAAAACAATCAGTGAAGGCTTTCCTATGTTCAACAGTATCAGGAATTTTTCTCATGTTGAGCAAGGCATGAATGTAGTCTAGAGGCCTTCATACACTCTTTGTACAGAAGCCCCCTCTCACCTGAGGGGCATACATTCCAAGACACCCAGTGGATACCTGAAACCACAGATAGTACTGACTGTGTTTTTTTCCCGTACATATATACAACACTATATACTACATTTTTTCCTGTACAAACATATCTAAAGTTTAATTTATAAATTAGGCACAGTAAGAGATTACAACAATAACTAATAAAATAGAACAACTGTAACAATATGCTGTAATAAAATTATGAGAACGTATCTCTCTCTCCCAAAATATCTTATTATCATGTAGCTCTTAGCAACCTCAGTATACATTTTTTTCCCTTTTCCTTATTGAGAACTTTCACCTTTTCACTGAAAAGGAAGCACTTTGTGGCTTCTCTTTGGCATATCCGAATTACCAGCATCACTACTCTTGCTCTTTGGGGCCACTGTTAAGTGAAGTAAAGATTACTTGAGCACAAGCACTGTGAGGCCATGATAGTCGATCCGATCACCAAGGTGGCTACTAGGTGACTAGCAGGGTGGCAGCATATACAGCGCGGATGTGCTGGACCAAGGGGCAAGTCACATCCCCGGCTGGTTGCAGCAGGACAGCAAGAGATGTCATCACGCTACTCAGAAGGGCACACCATTTGAGCCTTACGATTTATTTCTGGAATTTTCCATTTAATATTTTTGAACCGCAGCTGACTGCGGCTAACAAAACATGGAGAGCGAAACCACGGATAACAGCGGGCGGCTGCGTTCAGAGGGAGCTTCAACTATTGTGGATCCTCTGATGTTCTCGGAGGAGGTTTAGCTGGTGACACGCCTTCCCACATTCCTTACATTCGTAGGATTTCGGCCCACTGTGTGTTTTCTGGTGCTGTGTAAGCTGATGGCCATGACTAAAGCTCTTCCCACAATCTGTACACCCGTAGGGCTTCACCCCGGTATGAATTCGCTCGTGTTTCACAAGGCTCGAGCCGTAAATGAAAGCCTTCCCACACTCCTTACATTTATATGGGGTTTCGCCCGTGTGGATTCTCTCGTGCTGAGTGAGATGATAGCCACAATTGAAGGCCTTCCCACATTCTGTGCATTTGTACGGCTTCTCGCCCGTGTGTATCCTCTCGTGCTTCACGAGGCTGGAACCCCAGCGAAAGGCCTTCCCGCATTCCTTACACTCGTGGGGCTTCTCACCGGTATGGATCTTCTGATGCTGAGTAAGGTAATTTACTCGAGTGAAGGCCTTCCCACATTCTTGACATTCATAGGGCTTCTCACCTGTGTGGACTCTTTTATGCTGAATGAGGCTTGAGCCACAAATAAAGGCCTTCCCACAGTCTTTACATTCGTAAGGCTTCTCCCCGCTGTGAATTCGCTTGTGCTGAATGAGTTTGTATACACGGCTGAAAGTCTTCCCGCAGTCTTTGCACTCGTAGTCTTTCTCCCCAGTGTGGAACCTCTGGTGCTGGGTGAGCTCGTCGCCACGCCGGAAGGCCTTGCCACAGTCTTTGCATTCGTAGGGTTTCTCCCCAGTATGGATTCTTTTATGAATAACGAGGCTTGAGCCCCATCGGAAAGCCTTCCCACAGTCTTTACATTCGTATGGCTTCTCCCCGGTATGGATTTTCTGATGCTGAGTAAGCTGATTGCCCCATCGGAAGGCCTTCTTACATTCTTTACACTCGTAAGGTTTCTCACCAGTATGGATTTTCTGATGTTGACTAAGTTGATAGCCGCGACTAAAGGCTTTCCCGCAATCCTTACATTCAAAAGAATTCTCCTTATGATGTCTCCGATGGGATCTGGGAGGGGTGCCTTCTCTAGCAGTGGGCCTTTTTACACAATTGATGACCATTCGATTGACATACCTGCCTCTCGAGCGCTGTGGTCTTTCAGGCGTACCTTCATATATCCAGTTATGGCCAAGGGATTTACTTCTTCTATCTGAATTCCTTTTGGAAACGCGTATTTCATGAAGGCTTTTTTCTGTAGGTAAATTCTTAGTCTCATAGGCTGACTCCAAATCTGGAAAAAAAGAATGTTTTGTTTCCTTTAGAGGGACACAAGCGCAAATAAACCTAATCACAAACCAAAAACTCTTCTAATAGAAAAAAAATTATCCAGTAAAATAAATGTGAATCACCCAGGGCTCTTATTCAATGTACATTCTACTTCTGGCACCATGATACTTAATAAGAATTAATCAGAGACATTTGTTCTGAAGTGAAACATGAAAAAGGTCCCGAGAGTTAGTCCCATGATTTCCTGTATCTATTATTTCTTATTTTGATGATGAAAACACGTATTTGTAGATGATGTGATGATATACTTGGAAAGCAAAAGAAAACCAAATACAGAAGTAGTGTCACGAAACAATGTGCAGTTGGATAGCTGTGTGTAAAGCATTCTGAAACTGATACACACATATGTTGGCAATATTATTAAAAGTAACTGGGCGAAGGGCCAGAGTGCTGGCTCATGCCTGTAATCCCAGCACTTTCGGAGGTCAAGGCGGGCAGATCACTTGAGGTCAGGAGTTTTGAGACCAGCCTGGCCAACATGGCAAAACCTTGTGTCTACTAATAAAGTACAAAAATTAGCCAGGTGTGGTGGTGTGTGCCTATAATCCCAGCTACTCAGGAGTCTGAGGCAGGAAAATCGCTTGAACCCGGGAGGCGGAGTTTATGGTGAGCCGAAATTGTGCCACTGCACTCCAGCCTGGGTGATAGAATTGAGACTCTGTCTCAAAAAAAAAAAAAGGTAACTGGGTAAAAGGATACAACATTCAAAAGCAACAAAAAATACAATTTACAAGACTTAAAAAAAAATGTAAAAAAAACTATAAGGAAAACTTTGGAACTTGGGCATCAATAAGGAGGCTAACAGCAAAGGACTGAGAAACATCTAACATATAAATCTATGAGTTCATAATGGGACTACAAAATGTTCAATGGCCACCTTTGGAGCATGCTAGGAAACCAGTCCTTTATTATAAAAACTGACAACTGGCTGACTGCAATGGCTCACACCAGTAATCCCAGCACTTTGGGAGACTGAGGTGGGTGGATTACTTGAGCTCAGGAGTTCAAAACCAGCCTGGGAAACAGTGAAACCCTGTCTCTATAAAAAATATACAAAAATTAGCCAGGCATGGTGGTGTGCACCTATAGTCTCAGCTACTCAGGAGGCTGAGGTGGGAGGATGGCTTGAGCCCAGGAAGTCAAGGCTGCAGGAAGCACAGACTGCATTACTGCACTCCAGCCTTGGTGGCAGAGTGAGACCCTGTTTCAAAAAAATAAAAATAAAATAAAAAGAGAGAGAGAAAGAATACAATATAAAAATTGACAGGCCGGGCGCGGTGGCTCAAGCCTGTAATCCCAGCACTTTGGGAGGCCGAGGCGGGTGGATCACGAGGTCAAGAGATCGAGACCATCCTGGTCAACATGGTGAAACCCCGTCTCTACTAAAAATACAAAAATTAGCTGGGCGTGGTGGCGCGTGCCTGTAATCCCAGCTACTCAGGAGGCTGAGGCAGGAGAATTGCCTGAACCCAGGAGGCGGAGGTTGCGGTGAGCCGAGATCGCGCCATTGTACTCCAGCCTGGGTAACAAGAGCGAAACTCCGTCTCAAAAAAAATAAAATAAAATAAAATAAAATAAAAAATAAAAATTGACAAAGAAAAAGAACAAAGTTTTTATCCTTCTTAGCCAATATGAGCAGCGCCACTGCAGAAGCAATTAGCAGATGGGACAAACTTTCTCTTTAAATTATGACAGCTAATAAATGAAGGAGCAGTGGTAAGCGTGCAGCATTTGGACCCACAGTGTAATGAACTGTAAGCACTATCAATGACTGACTGCCAACAGCAAAGAGCTATAACCAGGTATTAGGTGCTTTATGGTAGAGGAACACTAACAGCACCCAGGAAGCAGTACTGCCAACACCTACATGTAAGAAAAGGCAAACAGGTACTTAAAGCGAGGCTAACCAACTTTCAGGAATGATAAAGAACAGAGGATGGCCGGGCACAGTGACTCATGCCTGTAATTTCAACACTTTGGGAGGCTAAGGTGGGTGGATCACGAGGTCAGGAGTTCGAGACCAGCCTGGCCAACATGGTGAAATCCCATCTCTACTAAAAATACAAAAATTATCTGGGCATAGTAGCACGTGCCTATAATCCCAGCTACTCAGGAGGCTGAGGCAGGAGAATCGCTTGAACCCAGAAGGCAGGGGTTGCAGTGAGCCGAGATTGCACCATTACACTGTAGCCTGGGTAACAGAGTGGGACTTTGTCTCAAAAAAAAAAAAAAAAAAAAGAACAAAGGATGATGTCACCTCTACCCCTGCTACTAAAGGAGGTGTGGCCCACAGACCAGCAGCACCAGCAACACATGAGATGGGGTTAAATAAGACAGAAAAAAAGGGGTGACAGGGACACGGGGTGAAGATCTTTCTTTCCCAGAGGCTTTGGGCCTAAACCTTTGTAGAGAGCTTCTCCGACACCTCAGGGTACCCCTGCTCCCTGCCTAGCAGGGATGCTCTTTGTAAGGATGGCTGATGGGCTCTCACTTTCCTTTGTGTGGTGGTCTTGTCTTTTCCCTCACAACCATCAAGTCTCATTCCCTTAATTCTATAAGACGGTACAGTTGGCTTTGAAATGATATGCTCTGCTTTAAAAAAGACAAAAAAAAAAAAAAATGCCAGAGGATGTAGACCTTAAGGAAGAATTTCAAGCTCAAAAATTAAAAGAAGAAATTATTTTTATTTTTTTGAGACAGTGTCTTGCTCTGTCGCCCAGGCTGGAGTGCAGAGGCACGATGGCAGCTCACTGCAGTCTCTGCCTCCTGGGTTCCAGTGATTCTCCTGCCTCAGCCTCCCGAGTAGCTGGGATAACAGACGCAAACCACTGTGCCTGGCCTAATTTTTTCTATTTTTCAGTAGAGATGGGGTTTCACCACGCTGCCCAGGCTGGTCTTGAACTCCTGACTTTAGGTGATCTGCCCACCTCAGCCTCCCGAAGTGTTGGGATTACAGGCGTGAGCCACTGTGCCTGACCTCAAAATTTTTTTGATTGAGCATTAATCAAATTTATTAACAACTAGAAGTCAAAATGCTCTTGAACTGGGTGTGGTGGCTCACGCCTGTAATCTAAGCTCCTTGGGAGACCAAGGTGGGTGGATTACTTAAGCCCTGGAGTTGGAAACATGGTGAAACCCCATCTCTACCAAAAAAAAAAAAAAAAAAAAAAAAACCCCAAAAAATTAGCTGGGTGTTGTGGTGCGCGCCTGTGGTCCCTGTTACTCAGGGGGATGGGGTGGGAGGATTGCTTGAGCCCAGCAGGCTGAGGCTACAGTGAGCCATGATCACACCAATGCACTCTGGCCCGTGTGACAGAGTGAAAAATAAAAACTTATTTAGAAAAAAAAGAAATGCTATTGATAAAGGCTTCACAAAGAGAAAGGAATAAAAAACAGGAAACCAGAGAGGTAGGGAAAAAAATCTTATTTTTTTAATGTATGAATGCATCTTTTTTTTTTTTTTTTTTTTTTTTTGAGACGGAGTTTCGCTCTTGTAACCCAGGCTGGAGTGCAATGGCATGATCTCGGCTCACCGCAACCTCCGCCTCCCGGGTTCAGGCAATTCTCCTGCCTCAGCCTCCTGAGTAGCTGAAATTACAGGCACGCACCACCATGCCCAGCTAATTTTTTGCATTTTTTTTAGTAGAGATGGGGTTTCACCATGTTGACCAGGATGGTCTCGATCTCTCGACCTCGTGATCCACCCGCCTCGGCCTCCCAAAGTGCTGGGATTACAGGCTTGAGCCACCACGCCTGGCCCTGAATGTATCTTTTTTATTTTATTATTATTTTTTTGGTTATCATAGACACCTGAGCTCCAATCACAATGAATGTATATATGTATATACGTATGTATTTATTTTTCCGAGATGGAGTCTTGCTCTGTTGCCTAGGCTGAAATGCAGTGCCACCATCTGAGCTCACTGCAACCTCTACCTCCCGGGTTCAAGCAATTTTCCTGCCTCAGCCTCCCAAGTAGCTGGAATTACAGGCGTGCAGCACCATACCTGGCAAATTTTATATTTTCAGTAGAGGCAAGGTTTCACCATGTTGGCCAGGCTGGTCTTAAACTCCTGACTTCGTGATCTGCCCATCTTGGCCTCCCAAAGTACTGGGATTACAGGCGTGAGCCACTGTACCGGCTTTAGTTTTTATTATTTTTGAGACAGAGTCTTGCTCTGTCACCTAGGTTGGAGTGCACTGGCATGATCTCGGCTCACTGCAACCTTTGCTTCCCGGGTGCAAACAATTCTCCTGTGCCAGCCTCCATAATAGCTGGGATCACAGGCGTGCACCACCATACCCGGCTAATATTTAATTTTTTTGTTTGTTTGTTTGTTTGTTTGAGATGGAGTTTCGCTCTTGTTACCCAGGCTGGAGTGCAATGGCGTGATCTCGGCTCACCGCAACCTCCACCTCCTGGGTTCAGGCAATTCTCCTGCCTCAGCCTCCTGAGTAGCTGGGATTACAGGCACGTGCCACCATGCCCAGCTAATTTTTTGTATTTTTAGTAGAGACGGGGTTTCACCATGTTGACCAGGATGGTCTCGATCTCTTGACCTTGTGATCCACCCGCCTCGGCCTCCCAAAGTGCTGGGATTACAGGCTTGAGCCACCGTGCCCGGCCATATTTAATTTTTTAATTTTATTTTTTTTGTAGAGATGGGGTTTCTCCATGTTGATCAGGCTGGTCTTGAACTCCTCTCAGGTGATCTGCCTGCCTCGGCCTCCCAAAGTGCTGGGATTACAGGCATGAGCCACCACACCCGGCCCCAGCTAATTTTTTATATTTTTATTAGAGATAAGGTTTACTATGTTGGCCAGGCTGGTCTCAAACTCCTGAACTCAAGTGATCCGCCCACCTCGGCCTCCCAAAGTGCTGGGATTACAGGTACGAGCCACTGCACCCGGCCGAGAAAAGGTCCTATTTTAAATTTCTGTACGCATTATGCCTGGAGGGAAGTGGAATATGATGGCTGGCAGCATGGAATCTGGGGCCCAAAATCGTTACATTCAATTCTAGCTGCTGCTCTGTCTGACCACACCACTTCGTGCCTGAGTATCCTCATCTCCAAAATAGACAATGATTTGCCTATCTCATCTGCTTGTGAGAATGAAATGGTATGCACTCACACACATAGTGCTTACAACAGTGCATGGCACAGAGTAAGCAATACGTAGATATAGCTTACATGTGTTTATATATATATATATATTGTGTGTGTGTGTGTGTGTGTAAAAAAAAAAAAATATATATATATATATATATATATATATATATATTTAGTGATGGGGTCTTGATATGTTGCCCAGCCTGGAGTACAGTGGTATGATCATAGTGAACTGCAGCCTTAAACTCCTCGACTGAAGTGAGCCTCCTGCCTCAGTCTTCCAAGTAGCTGGGATTACAGGCAGTGTCACCATAGATGGTTTAGCTATTAATATTGTTATTTTGCTAGAAGAAAAATAAGTTTCCAGAGATGTTTACAAGAGACTGTCATTCAATGTTCAATTCAAAGTTCAGGGACTGTAACTTTCTTTTTTTTTTTTGAAACGGAGTTTCGCTCTTGTTACCCAGGCTGGAGTGCAATGGTGCGATCTCGGCTCACCGCAGCCTCCGCCTCCTGGGTTCAGGCAATTCTCCTGCCTCAGCCTCCTGAGTAGCTGGGATTACAGGCACGCGCCACCATGCCCAGCTAATTTTTTGTATTTTTAGTAGAGACGGGGTTTCATTGTGTTGACCAGGATGGTCTCGATCTCTTGACCTCGTGATCCACCCGCCTCGGCCTCCCAAAGTGCTGGGATTACAGGCTTGAGCCACCGCGCCCGGCCGGGGGACTGTAACTTTCAACCTCACTTCAGGTATGATATGTAAGAAATGAAATATGGCTGGGCACGGTGGTTCAGGCCTGTAATCCCAGCACTTTGGGAGGCCGAGGTGGGTGGATCACAGGGTCAGTAGTTTGAGAGCAGCCTGGCCAACACAGTGAAACCCCGTCTCTACTGAAAATATAAAAACATGGCGGACACCTGTAATCCTAGCTACTCGGGAGGCTGAGACAGGAGAATCACTTGAACCCGGGAGGTAAAGGTTGCAGAGAGCCAAGACTGACTCACTGCACTCCAACCTGGGCAACAGAGTGAGATTCTGCCTCAAAAAAAAAAAAAAAAAAAAAGAAATGAAATATGCTAACTCTGGTTTTACACAAATTCTGTTTGTCTAATCTATTATATTTCAAGCACATAGGCTGGCTCACTGGAACAAGTCAGGGCACTGTGTCCACATATTTTCCCTAGAGATAGGTCCCTAGAGTACCACAGACCACCAACAGCAATTTGAGTATAAACATAATATTACAGGACAAACTGGTTCCTTTGAAGATGGTCATAAAATAAATATCCTAGAATTACAACTCACTCCATGGACATTAGGAAGAGAGCTGATTATGGGGGATCCTAGCAAAGGCGGGAAGGTAACTGATGGATTTGAGAGGAAGGTGTGTGATGCTCATGGCCATACCAGTAAGAAGACTCAACACACTCCTTGCGAACAGGAATAAGAAATTCAACTAGTTTCTGGAAAGATGGTCCTGACATTCACAGTGGAAAGCTGACATTCCAGGAAGCAGTCTAAGTTATGTGGGGTGTGCAACTCACCCAGTGAGACCACGTTACTGTAGTTTTCCAGCATCACATCCCAGTACAGGTCCCTCTGAGCAGAGTTCAGACAGGCCCACTCCTCCTGAGTAAAGTCTATGGCTACGTCGGCAAATGTCACCAAACCCTGAAAGAGAAACCCACATATGCGTGATGACGTGAAAGGAAACAGCTTCCAGCTGAAGGAGACAAGAGGCCACACTTATGCTAAATATCCTGCTAGTTTAAAAAAAAAAAAAAAAAGTGGCCACCCTCTGGGTAGGCTGAGCACCGTGAGTAGACTGAACGCCTGTGGCACAGGCAGGAAGAAGAATACCTGCATGTCACTCAAAAGCCGTACCACTGCAGAGAAAATGACTTGTACTGTGCAGAATCCTCCGTTAGTCAAACCTGCCAGGAAGTTTACAAGCAGTGTCTGCTACATGCCTCCCTTAAAGTTCTCAACAAGTGTGGGTTCCTATGGCATCTTTTTTTTTTAAGGGGGGAAAAAATCAAGATTTTTAAGTTTTAGTTCAAAAAATGGAGTTTGCATGTTTAAATGTTTTCAAGCCTCAAGTTCATCATGCCAAACTACATTTTAAGCAGCCTTCCTTTTAAGCATTAAAAAAAATCCAAGCCGGGCGCGGTGGCTCAAGCCTGTAATCCCAGCACTTTGGGAGGCCGAGGCGGGTGGATCACGAGGTCGAGAGATCGAGACCATCCTGGTCAACATGGTGAAACCCCGTCTCTACTAAAAGTGCAAAAAATTAGCTGGGCATGGTGGCACGTGCCTGTAATCCCAGCTACTCAGGAGGCTGAGGCAGGAGAATTGCCTGAGCCCAGGAGGCGGAGGTTGCGGTGAGCCGAGATCGCGCCATTGCACTCCAGCCTGGGTAACAAGGGCGAAACTCCGTCTCAAAAAAAAAAAAAAAAAAAAAAAAAAAAAATCCCACACAGGGAAGCCAGACTGTTTATTACAGTTATCCACTTAGATTGACCAAAATACCTAAGGCTTTCTCCAATTCTGGGGTATGTGATCATCTCCTACTTCCATACTAGAAGATCTTCACAGTTGTTACCATCTACCAACGCCGACTGTTTTCTTGTTTTTGAGAAAGAGTCTTGCTCTATTGTCCAGACTTGGCTCACTGCAATGTCCATCTCCTGGGTTCAAGCAATTCTCCTGCCTCAGCCTCCCAAGTAGCTGGAATTATAGACACATGCCACCATACCCTGCTAATTTTGGTATTTTTAGTGCAGAAGAGGTTTTACCATGTTGGCCAGGCTGGTCTGGAACACTTGACCGTAAGCAGTCTGCCCACCTGGGCATCCCAAAGTGCTGGGATTATAGGCGTGAGCCACCGTACCTGGCCCCCTGTTCCTGATTTAGAGGATACTAATGTCAGATTATTTGGAACCATCTTGCAGTCTGACAGGTCCATTCAATAAGAAAATTTATCTTCCAGTTTCCCCAGCAAGAACATGAGCTCTAAGGCCGGGCGTGGTGGCTCAAGCCTATAATCCCAGCACTTTGGGAGGCCGAGGCGGGTGGATCATGAGGTCGAGAGATCGAGACCATCCTGGTCAACATGGTGAAACCCCGTCTCTACTAAAAATACAAAAAACTAGCTGGGCATGGTGGCGCGTGCCTATAATCCCAGCTACTCAGGAGGCTGAGGCAGGAGAATTGCCTGAACCCAGGAGGCAGAGGTTGCGGTGAGCCGAGATTGCGCCATTGCACTCCAGCCTGGGTAACAAGAGCGAAACTCCATCTCAAAAAAAAAAAAAAAAAAAAAAAGAACATGAGCTCTGTTCAAAGGTCCTAATCATAGCCCTATTTACTTCTAAAAGTCTCATGAAGCTTGGGATCTCAACACACACTAAGACTGATACCAGCGACGGAGCATCCCCTCCTATCTACGCAGAAAACAAGATCAGTGGAGGATTTGTTTCTCATGTGGTCAAATGGGACCAACATACCTAACTTATCAAGCCATGGATTTAAGTATTTTCCTCAAAGGACTTTGTTACTTCACTGCTCTGACATTACTCTTGCCAAAACAGTCAGTAATAGGACATACTAAGGTGCTCACTCATTTCCCAAAAAGGTAGATATGGAGCTACATGGCATTATCATTCACTAGAATAGAAAGAATCGGGAAATAGGTAATTATAAAGAGTTTGACTAGATAAAAGGCTTCAGATAAATCACAAGCATATGCACAAAACCCAAATATCATAGTTCAAGAAGGAAAGAGAAATACACACTTACCTGGGCCATTGTTTTAGAACTGAACAACTGATCAGTCTTCTTGGGGTTTCCTCTGCAGAAGACACAAATTCCGAGAGGCTAGAGCTAGGGGTGGTGAAAAACGAGAGATTAAAACAAGGAGCGGCCAGACATGGTGGCTCACACCTGTAATCCCAGCACTCTGGGAGGCCAAAGCAGGCGGATACCTGAGGTCAGGAGTTCAAGACCAACCTGATCAGCATGGAGAAACCCCGTCTCTACTAAAAATACAAAATTAGCCAGGCGTAGTGTTGCATGCCTGTAATCCCAGCTACTTGGGAGGCTGAGGCAGAAGAATCACTTGAACTTGGGAGGCAGAGGTTGTGGTGAACTGAGATCTCGCCACGGCACTCCAGCCTGGGCAACAAGAGTGAAACTCCACGAAAAAAACAAAAAAAAACAAAAAAACAGGTGCACCCTGGGTCCCCAAAGTGATATAATATGACCTTTTGGCTCCTCTGTCTTGGCTTCCCAAAACAAACACGTAACTGTGACAGATCTGGGAAAAATTAAAGAGCATTATGGATCAAACCTAAATCAAGCTCTCAATGAAACCTCAGGAAATCCACCTGCACGAAGCAGAGGATGCTTTCCTTTTTTTTTTTTTGGTCTCAAAGACAGGCCCAGACAATTTAACAGAAGGATTTCGTTTCTGGCCAGCCCCCTATCGGAGACTGACAGGTGAGATGTAATAAAGTATGCGGTCTTGCCCAAAAAGAAGTCTGGCCTTTGCCCTCTGCTTCTGAAAGTAATCTATATTATATCTACTAGGAATGTCTTTGTTTCTGCTGGGGGCATCCATTTATCCCAACAAAGAGTCAGTATATTCAGAATTATCTGGTCATGAGCCTGACATCAGTGGCTGTCCTCAGGATGATGTCCCATTCCTGGCTCCTTTCTGAATGTGTGACCTGGAATTCTCCACAGGTCTTGACCACAGGCTGTCTTGCACTTCTTCTGTTTAGTTTCCCTTAGTGGATTATAGACACTGTACAGGCAGCAGCTGAGTCCACTATATCAGACTCTCATTCCAAGTACTAATAGCCACAGCATCTGACATATTGTAGGCACTGAACAAATGTCTAATTTTGACTCAGAATTCCACATTCTGGAATTTATGATAAGGAAATAGCTATAGTAGTCTACAAATGCATGCCTAAGAAAGTCAAAAAAAAAAAAAAAAAAAAAAGGGCCGAGCGTGGTAGCTAACGCCTATAATTACAACACTTTGGGATTATAGGCACAAAGAGGGCAGATCATATGGTCAGGAGTTCAAGAACAGCCTGACCAATAGGGGAAACCCCATCTGTATTAAAACTACAAAATAATTAGCCAGGTGTGTTGGTACATGCCGGTAAACCCAGCTGCTTGGGACGCTGAGGCAGGAGAACTGTTTGAACCCAGGAGACAGAGGTTGCAGTGAGCTGAGATTGAGCCCTTGCATTCCAGCCTGGGCAACACAGAAAGACTCCTTCTAGGGGTGGTTAAAAAAAAAAAAAAAAAAAGCAACAATGAAAAAAAAAAAGCCACCTTCCAGAACCTATTTTTATTAGAGATGGGGTTTCACCATGTTGACTGGGATGGTCTCGATCTCTTGACCTCGTGATCCACCCGCCTCGGCCTCCCAAAGTGCTGGGATTACAGGCTTGAGCCACCGCACCCGGCCACATGTGAACATTTTTAACTATGGTCATCTTATTCGTTTATCTTGCAAATGTTACTTATACAGTCCATATTTGTTTCCTGTATCTGTAACCTTGCTAATGCTATCTGGAAAGCCCGAATTTGTAAGACACTCAATTATTAATTACCTTTTACCAGTGATTACTATCATGTTCTGGGAAAGAAACATGAAAATTCTAGAATCTCTAGTTCTTATTTTTTATTTTATTTAATTTATTTATTTTATAGCTGCCCATCACTGATTTTTATTTATTTATTTTTTATTTTGAGATGGTCTCACACTTTTACCCAGGCTGGATGGCAGTAAGTAGCCTTAACTCACTGTAGCTTTAACCTCCTGGACTGTAAGGAATCCTCCCACTTCAGCTTCCTAAGTAGCTGGGACCACAGGCGTACACTACATCATCACACCTGGCTAATTTTTTAGTTTTTTGGAGAGATGGGGTCTCACTATATTGCTCTGGCTGGTCTCAAACTCCTGGCCTCGAGCAATCCTTCCACCTTAGAATCTCTAATTTTAAAGGCTGTCTTTCTTGATAATTTGCTGCCACAGATTAGATTCAAAACTAGATTTAAAGAGTCTCTGGTGTATTTACATGATTAATTAGCAAGATCCCATGCTCCAGAAAGAAAATACATACAGGCTTAAAGGCAAAAAGGAGGACTAGAAACATTAATTACAAAAAGAGGACTGGAAACAGTAATTACCTCTGGATTGTAATTATGGGTAATTTAGAGACTTTTCTCTAAGAGCTCCTTAGGGACTAATTTTTTTCCCCCAAGCAGGCCTGCATTAATTCCATTATAAGACATTTAATGAGATAGTCTCAAATTAAAAAAAAAAAGCAAACGCAAACATAATTATGGGGGAGAAGGCACACTGTAGTCGTTAAGGAAACTCTGCACGGATAGGCCTGCCTCTCAAATGTGTGTATGTGTGTGGTGTGTGTACACGTATTTTGAGGCAGGGTCTCACTCTGTCGCCGCTGGAGTGCAGTGGCATGAACACAGGTTACAGCAGCTTCAATCCTCGGTTCAATCCTCCCACCTCAGCCTCCCTAGTAGCTGGGACCACAGGTGCACATGCCTGGCTAACTTCTGTATTTTTGTAGAGATGGAATCTTGTCATTTTGCCCACCTCTCAAATATGTCTCTTTGGTAATTCCAGTACTTTCAAAAGTGCTACCTTGCATGGCAAAGGAAAATTAAGGTTGCAGATGGACTTAAAATTGCTAATCAGCTGACTCTTTTAAGATAGGGAAGATTATCTTTATTTTTTTACTTTTTATTTTATTCTTATAATAGAGACAAGGTTTCTCCATGTTGGTCAGACTGGTCTCAAATTCGCGACCTCAGGTGATTCAAGTTGGTCTTGAACTCCGGACCTTAGGTGATCCACCCACCTCGGCCTCCCAAAGTGCTGGGATTACAGGCGTGAGCCACTGCGCCCAACTGGGCAGATTATCTTAAAGTTATCCCAGAAGGCACAACGTAATGACCAGAGTCCTTAAAATTAGAAGAGGAGGTGGGCCAGGCACAGTGGCTCATGCCTGTATTCACGGTACTGAGGTTGGGAGTTCGAGACCAGCCTGACCAACATGGAGAAATTCTGTCTCTACTAAAAGTACAAAATTAGCCAGGTGTGGTGGCGCATGTCTGCAATCTCGGCTACTCAGGAGACTGAGGGAGGGGAATTGCTTGAACCTGGGAGGCGGAGGCTGCAGCGAGCCAGGATCGCACCATTGCACTCTAGCCTGGGCAAAAAGAGTAAATCTCCAACTAAAAAAATAAGAGAAAGAAAAGAAAAGCCAGTTATGGTGGCTCATGCCTATAATTCCAGAACTTTAGGAGGCTGAGGTGGGCAGATCATGAGGTCAGCAGTCCAAGACCAGCCTGGCCAATATGGTGAAATACCACCTCTACTAAAAATACAAAAATTAGCTGGGCATGGTGGTGGGCACCTGTAGTCCCAGCTACTTGGGAGACTAAGGCAGAAGAACTGCTTGAACCCAGGAGGCGGAGGTTACAGTGAGCCATGATCGTACCACTGCACTCCAGCCTGGGTCACAGAGCAAGACTCTTTCTCAAAAGGGGGGTAAAAAAAAGAAGAGCAGGGTCAGAGGAAGAGAAGTATGTGAAGACACAAGTAGGGCCATCAGAGTGATGTGATGGAAAAAGGACCTGTCTTTGTAGGCTTTTGTGATGGAAGAAGAGGTCATAAATTAAGGAGCATCGGCAAAATCTAGAAGCCAGCAAAAGCAAGGACACAGAATATCTCCTAGTCTCCAAGCAGAAGCACCTCCTAGAGCCTTGCCAACACCCTGGTTTTAGCCCAACGAGTCCCACTTCAGACTTCTGACCTCTATGATAGTAAGATAATATATCTGTGTTGTATTAAGCTAACAATCTACAGTAATTTGTCAAGGCAGCAAAAATAAACTGACGTAAGGCCTAATATTGAAAAAAATAGTGTCAGCTGGGTGCGGTGGCTCATGTCTGTAATCCTAGTACTTTGGGAGACTGAGGTGGGTGGATCACTTGAGGTCAGGAGTTCAAGACCAACTTGGTTAACATGATGAAACCCCATCTCTACTAAAAATACAAAAGATTAGCTGGGCATGGTGCTGAGCACCTGTACTCCGAGCTACTCAAGAGGCCTCAGGCAGAGGAATCACTTGAAACTTGGAGGCAGAGGTCGTAGTGAGTTGAGATTGTACCACTGTCCTCCACCCTGGGCAACAAGAGCAAAACTCTGTCTCACAAAAAGAAATCATAGTGTCTCTGAAACAGGCATAACCTTCCTGTTCTGGAACCTCCTTTCACTGTGTCTTGGTAATACAATCAGATCCTGTGATACAACTGTGTGTATGTATATGTGTGTATATATGTGGGTGTGTATATATGTGTGTATCTATATGGTGTATGTATATGTGTGTGTGTATGGTGTATATGCGTATATGCGTGTATATATATGTAGATGTGTATATACATGTAGGTGTATATATAGTAAGTGCATATATGTGGTGTGTGTATATATGGGGTATGTGTGTATGGAATGTATATGTGTGTGTATATGTAGGTGTGAATATTGAGATATGTGTATATGTGCATACAGGGTCTATATATGTCGATGTGTTTATGTGTGTACATATGGAGTGTGTGTGAATATATGGGGTGTATGTGTATGGCATGTATATATGTGTGTGTATATGTAGGTGTGTATATTGAGATATGTGTATATGCGTACAGTCTGTACATATGTCGGTGTGTATATGTGTGTACATATAGGGTATGTGTGTATATATGGGGTGTATGTGTATGGCATGTATATGTGTGTATATGTAGGCATGTATATTATGAGGTGTGTGTATATGTAGGTGTGT